ATATATGTATAAGATCCCTTCCCCCTCTTTGCCCTACTTCAGGCTGCGGAAGAGCTGTTTTTTCCCTGTTTTCCACCCCGGTGTGAGCGTTTGCTGGGGCTCTCCGGGGCCCTCAGGACGATGCAAAGCTGACGACCCTGTTGGTTGGGTGGGTAGGTTGTGGAGCAGAAATTCAGTGAAAATGAAGAATTTTGGCAGGGAGGGGGAAGATTTTTTTTTTAACTTGTTGATAAAACAGAGAAGAAAACACCCTTTTTTATTATTTAAACGTTTTTGTCTGTGTGTGCTTTTGCCTTTGGCTCACAAAAGAAAAGACAAAATGTGTCTTGCTGGAATTCAGGGGTTGATCAAGAGCTGCCATTTGTTCCAGGAAAAAAATGGGAGCTGAGAAACAAGTTTTGAAGCATAAGGTGCAGATTAAACCTGGCAAGTTGAACCCTCCGTCTCTGCCACTGTTCTTCACCAGGTCCTTGGTCACATCTGCAGTGGTGGGGAAAGAGGGTGTTAATGTGGCTGGGTCCTTCGCCATCCATGAATTGGGTGTTCAGCACAGAAGGACAAAGGGAAGCAGAGGGGAAGGGGTTATCTCACCTGCTTTTAATACAGGGCATGAGATTTAGAGCGTGGGACATCCCTTGTGTTTCGGAAGCAGCTGGCAAAAACATCCTGGGGCTCAGTATCCCCAGGAGAGGTGATGGATGTCCAGAGGTGGTTTGCACCATGCAAAATACATGTAAGCGGAATTAAATACCCAGCAAATGCAGTCTGGGAAGTGTTGGCAGTCACAGCATTTCCCAGCCTGGGGCTGCTGCTCCCTGATTTGAATTTTTTCAGGTAGTGCCTTTCCCCAGGCAATTTAAAATGGGCATTAAAAAAGCGCATAAATCATCCCAGTGAATCCAGCTAGGGAGTTAGCTGCTAACATGAGTCAGAGCACACGGTGTAATTTGGGAAATATGAGAGGTCACTGTGTTTTATGTAACTATCTTGTAGAAGGAGGGAGGTTTAAAATCCTAATTTCCTTCTGTTTAGGGGGTTGAATCTCAGCTGGTGCCTAAAATTGGCTTCCTGCATGGGGCAAAGTCCCTCCAGGGTCTTCATCTGGTTTAGGAGGTCGAGGCATCCCCTCTCATGCATGACTTGTGTCCCACACATGTGTGGACAGCTGAGCCAGGCTTTGGACCGCTTTGGTGGTGGGGCCGCCATGGTACCTTCTACCTCACACTGAAGGGATGTCAGTAGGTGCTCAAATGGCCTTGACCTGTCTTTTCATTGGGATTTCTCCTTCTTGCTTGAGTCTCCTGGACTTAAGTTGGTGGTGGAGCTTCTTGGTTGGCATTTCCAAGCTGGTGCTGGTGGAGGAGCTTCTTGGTTGGCATCTCTGATTTGGGATGCATGGACCAGGGATGGGTGGCATGGCTGGGTGGGTGTTTTCCTGGGGAAAGAGCCCTTTTGAGTGATTTTATTTCCTTCCTCCCCACAGCTGATAGTCGAAAAAACGACTGACTACCCTTCGGCTGAGTACTCCCTGGTGGAGGATGTAGCCCTCCACTTCACGTGTTTGATGGACAGACTGAACGAGCAGCGCCTCTTTCAGCCGGACCTGTGCGACGTGGACATCGTGCTGGTGCAGCACAAGAGCATCTTCCCAGCGCACAAGGGGGTCCTGGCAGCCTACAGCCAGTTCTTCCACTCCCTCTTCACCCAGAACAAGCAGCTGCAGCGTGTGGAGCTCTCTCTGGAGGCTCTCACCTCACAGGGCCTCCAGCAGATCCTCAACTTCATCTACACCTCCAAGCTCCTCGTCAACTCCTGCAATGTGCAGGATGTGCTGAACGCAGCCGCTGTGCTGCAGATGAACAACATTGCCTCCTCCTGCCAGGACCTCCTCGACACCCGCTCGCTCAGCCTGGCCACTGACATGGCCCTGCCTGCTGAGGGCTGCGCCGGACCCCCACCCTACTACTGCGAGATCAAGCAGGAGGTGGATGCCCCCCATCCCAAGATCTACGCCCGGGAGGGCAACGACCCCTATTCAGTACGGGTGGAAGATGGCACGGGTGGTGGTACGCTTCCCCCTGGTCCAGCCAAGCAGTACTACAAGGAGGAGAAGGATGGTGGTCCAGGCGCTGTATGTAAGATGGAGGGTGAGGAGTCCGAGGAGGACCTGGACAGCCAGGGCTCATACAACCGGGAGCAGATCATCGTGGAGGTGAACCTCAACAACCAGACCCTCAATGTCTCCAAGGGCACGGAGGGGAAGGGAGCTGCCAGTGAGGCAGCTGTGATGGGGCGGCCTGATGGTGATGGGCGTGACACAGAGGAGGATGGGGAGGAGGAGAATGAGGAAGGGGAGGAGGAGGAGGAAGAGGAGGAGGATGCGGAGGTGGGCGAGGAGGAGGAGGAGGAGCACAGTGAGGAGGAAGACCTGGAGGACACAACGGAAGAAGAGGATGACGACGACGATGATGAAGACACATCAGAAGTGAAAAGGGAAAAGGGTGGGCAGCCCCGCAGAGGGAGCCGGGCCTCCAAAGCCACCAAACCTGCCATGGCAACAAGGTCCCAGGAGATGGCCAAGGTGGAAGAGGAGGAGGAGGAGGAGGAGGAAGAAGGCCAACGAGGGAGGAAGAGGAAAAAGGAACAGGATGGTTTGGGCCAGAAGGTGAAGCTGGAGGAGAAGCAGCACTACCCATGCAAGAAGTGCCCCCGGGTCTTCAACAACCGCTGGTACCTGGAGAAGCACATGAACGTCACGCACAGCCGCATGCAGATCTGCGACAAGTGTGGTAAACGCTTCCTGCTCGAGAGCGAGCTGCTGCTGCACCACCAGACCGACTGCGAGAAGAACATCCAGGTGAGCCAGCCCCGGGGATGTCCCGCGAGGGGATGGGCATCCCCCCAAGGGGAGAACATCCACCACAGGGTGGAGCATTCTACTAGGGATGGACATCCCACCAAGGTGGGGACACCCCACTATGATGGGATGTTCCAGTGTGGGAGGGACATCCCACTCACCATGGAGGACATCCCATCCAGCTACACCATGGGATGGGCTCATGCTCAAATATTTTTAATGTTGTGGTTGGCACATGGCAGATGGGAGGGAACCTTATTTCACCCTTGTGACTTGTATTCAGGCTCAGGAGGGTCCCGATGAGGGTTTGTGCCAGGGGACCGAGGCTTCCCCTTGGCTGGCTGGGTGGAAACATGGACTAATTTTTGAGGAGTAATTTTTCTTTGAGTTTATTCAGTTAATCTGGATAAAACATTGTGAGCCCCTGATGGAGACACACTCCAGCTGTTCCCACCCAGGCTGAAACCAATTTAGCTTAACTCAAAGATTTGCTGACACAAGTTAAAATGGTTTTAATCTGCCTTTTGTGCTCTTTAGCTTGCGTATTAGCGAATTTCCGGGTGCATTTGACATCCATGCGGGGCTTGGGCTTGGTGTGTCCTTCACCTAATGCTAACCGAGATCCTGTGTTTGCAGGCTGACTCTGTTAAATCAGTGCTGTTGTGGAGGGATAGATGGGCATCCCATCAGAGCAGCAAACGTGTGTTCCTGCAGACCCTTCCAACCCATCCCCTAATCCCTGATGGGCTGTTCTGTGTGATGCTGCTGCGACTAATTAAAAAGTACCAACTTGTGGAGAGCTTTGCCCACCATCCTTCCCACCACCAGCCAGATTTTAAATGATCTTGCAACAATCCTCGGTAAAGGTAACGCAGTGCAGGGCAACCGGAGCCCTTTGCTGATGGTACCACAAATAAAAGGGGAATGAAGCAGATCTCAGCGTTATGGTCTGTGGGGAACATGGAGATAGGAGCAGCCTTGGCTCAAGCAGGTGAAGGAGCTGCTGCCTGCACTGACACTTTGACCCTGAAAAATTCACAGTGCTGGGGTTGCTTTTTTTGGATGCTTTTTTTCCCAGAATGGGTGAGTTCAGCTCGGATACCTGCCTCATGGTGGCTGTTTCAGAGCCTATCATAAAGCCTGTGCAATTAAAGTGACTTTTCCCAGAACATTTTTTCAGCCTCATCAGCTTTCCTGATGGATAACATGGGGCTGTCACCTTATTGGTTCCCTCCCCCCTGCTTTTTGTCCCTTTTCCAGTTCATTTCTGAATAGGATGAACCACAACTGACCGTGTGGTGACCTCTTTCTGCAGAAAATGTGGATCATTACCTCTCACTTAGTTGAGCGTTTTTAATTTTACAAATAGCCAAATTCACTCCAGTTGCTCTGGTGATATTGAATAACTTTATCAATATACCCTGGACTTACAGCTGGATGGAAAGGGGATTTTTTTTTTGACTCAATGCCTATAATGGACAGTCTTTATTTCTTGGTTTTTTTTCACCAAATTTGTGGAGGGACCATCCCTCTTATTCCATTCTGGTCTGCTGCTTTATTTCCCTGTTTTGTCCCCAGATTTCTTCCATAATGCTTTAGGTGTTCAGCTTCACCCTGTGATGGTTTCCCATCACCGTCCGCGGGCCTGCAGACAACGTAACAGGCATCCTACCTCCACTGCCTGAAAAATGATTTGTCCATTGCTTTATTGGTTGTTTCTCAAACTCTTTGCCCAGCTTTAGGATGGTTTTCCTCTTAACCTGCAATAATTCATCTTCTAATTTTTTCCCCTCTAATTCAGATGTGACTTTTACATTTTCAAGTGATGCTTTCTTATGGTAACTGAAGACAGAATGCTCAGTCCTCCAGGGTGTTTGGTCCCAGCCTGGGGCTTTCCTACATCTGCTGTTTTCCTTCTACCTTTAATTCTAGAACTCCCCTGCAGCCTTTTTCATTTTAAGCGCAGAAAATGGATATTGATGTGTCTTTGATATCAGGCTCTGGTCCTGAATTTGTCCTGAAATGTCTCTTACGGCAGAGATAAAACTGTTCTTATCTGTGGCAGTACATAGAAACAGTAGAACTCAGAGGACTACTCATGGCAAGGTGAAGATGGTGGATGTTTGGAATGCTTCTGTGACCCCAATTTTGCCTCTTGGGTGCCTAAATAGAAATATATATGGAGAGATACGGTGACTTCATGGCATAGTGGGATATTTTCTGTGGTATCACAGCCTCATTTGGTGCAAAATCTGGTTGAAGCCCATCAACGAGCATCTGTTCCTCTGAGTAGGAGGAGAAGCCAGAGGAATCCCTCCCTGGGCTCACTGGTACCACTCAGCCGTGCTGTTGTGAGGTGCCTCCAAGGCATGAATTATTTTTGTAACACATTTGTGAGGAGGAGGGATGGTTTTATCCTTGTTAATCAAGAGGAAGATGAGTCATGGAGAGATGAAGATCAAAGAGTTGACCCTTGGAGGAAAGAGAGACCCTTGGCTACTGGCAGGGTCCTCAGCCACATGCTGTCTGCCATCCCTGTACTCCAACAATGGTCTCCTGTGCAGACCTTGCTCTCCAGTGTTTCCCTGGGCACTAAACTGATCTCACATGTTCAAACTGATCTCACATGTTCAAACTGATCCCATGCCAAGGTTGGAGCTTTTCCTGGGAACTTTCAGAGAAACATTGGAGCTGAAGCAAATCTCTGCCATAATTTCTCGGGGGAGACTTTGCACATCCTATTGTTCTGCTTGTGCTGATGGACTGTTGTTGGGGTCCATTTGGATATGTTTGGAAAACTCATTTGGTGGTAAAGCATCTGTAATACCTGATGAAGACTGAAGTTGTGCTCCCTGGCTTGGGCTTTCCTCGTTCTTGTATTCTTTGCAGCCTCCTAGTGCACAGAGGGTTGGGGGTTGTTTTTTTATGTAATAGCTTCATTGCGTGCAAGAATTCAACCCCCAGTTGGGAACAGGGCCTTGGTGGGTGAGCTGCTGTTTATGTGAGTCGTAATACAGCCATTGATGGAGATGCCGTGTCCTTCCCTGAAAAGTCATTATTCCATTCTCATCCTCATTGAAATCTGACTTTTGGAGGTTTTGAAGTGAAAAGGTCTGTAGCAGATTTGCTGGCCATTATGACTTTTGATACAGTCTTAGCTGTAGGTTTCCTAGTGATGCTCCTTTTCAATGGATTAAGCTCACAGCCTAGTAAGACAAAAATGCTGGTGGTGCCTGGGCACGTTCCCCTGCTTCCCTACCCATGCCCTCTCTCCTTGCAGTGTGTGACGTGCGGGAAGGGGTTCAAGAAACTCTGGTCCCTCCATGAGCACAACAAGATCGTCCACGGCTATGCCGAGAAGAAGTTCTCCTGCGAGATCTGCGAGAAGAAGTTCTACACCATGGCCCATGTGCGCAAACACATGGTTGGTGAGTGCGGGAGGCACTGATGCCACAGGGAGATCTTGTTAGGGGTGTTCATCCATCGTTTAGGGCTGGGCTTACTCTTGGGTGAGCTTTCTCAAGTCAATGCAGAGGCCTTGAAGTTTGGCCCAGTATTTAATGCTGAATGTATGCGTGCTCACTGCTGGGTTTGGAGCAATCAGGCATGGTGCTGGGAAATCACATTTATTTTATTTAACCAGAAAAAAAGAAGTGATCAAAAGAAGGTTTGAAGTGCAACCATCCTTCCAGACCACACCACTGCCAGGCTTTCAAAAGCAAATTGCACGTGACAATGGTGGTTGGGTCCTCAGGGCTTACAGGCACCAAAGACATCCAAAAATGGGAGCTTTGGCAGGCAATTAGGGAAGTACCTGAAATGTTGCTGCTGTTTATCTTCCCAAGATGGCTTTGCATTTGCTGGGGTTGGGCACTGGGGTTGGGCACTGGTGTTGAGAGTGGCAGATGGGACTTCGGGAGATGGATGCTTGAAGTGCAGGGAGGACTCCTGACCCTGCTCTTCTCCACTTCAGCTCACACCAAGGACATGCCATTCACCTGCGAGACCTGTGGGAAGTCCTTCAAGCGCAGCATGTCCCTCAAGGTCCATTCGCTCCAGCACTCTGGGGAGAAGCCTTTTAAATGCGAAGTAAGGTCCTGTGTGTCTCCCCGCCCTGCATCCTCTGAAGGACAAAAACACTGACCTGGGGAAAAATCATCCACTTCTTGGGGATCCCCCTATGTTTTGTGCCAGTACAGCCGTAGGGGCACTCCCATGCTCTTTCAAACTTTGCATCGCCTCCTGATTCGAGGGTCCTACCAACCTTATGATGAAACTTGTCCAGTGCCGTGATCTGTCCCTCCAGTGCCTGGACTTTGCATCCAACCCCAAGCCCATTGAGCCTGCACACCTGCTGGGTATATCTTGAAAAGCCATTTGTTTGGGTTCTTTTGGGGGAAAAAAGGGATTTCTTGCACTGCTTCAACATGCTGGCGATGTGGGGGGAATGTGGGGTTGTTTTGGGTGCTCATCAAAAGCTCATCCCCCTCTCACTTCTGCAGAACTGCAATGAGCGCTTCCAGTACAAGTACCAGCTGCGTTCTCACATGAGCATCCACATCGGCCACAAGCAGTTCATGTGCCAGTGGTGCGGCAAGGACTTCAACATGAAGCAGTACTTCGATGAGCACATGAAAACGCACACAGGTGAGAGCTCCCGGCTTTGCTCCCCTGGA